GCAAAGATCAGCACTGGAACACCACTCAACTTCTCCTCATCCAACAGCTCAGCCAGTTCCTTGAACACACACACATGCATCAGCATGGGATCCCAATATAAACCTATGTGTACGTAGAATATGCACATTACACAGCACACAAACATCACTTGAGACAAGACTCACCTGCCCCGTCTCCTCAAATCTTTTTCTGTCTGCACTGTCGATTACGTAAATCTGAAACACAGTAGTGTATCCATTCAAAATTATTAGTAGCACACTTCTGGTGTTGTGTATGTGTGTGTGTGTATATATACACAATACCTGTCAAAAGTTTGGACACACCTACTCATTCCAGGGTTTTTCTTTATTTTGTAACTATTTTCTACATTGTAGAATAATAGTGAAGACATCAAAACTATGAAATAACACATATGGAATCATGTAGTAACCAAAAAAGTGTTAAACAAATCAAAGTATATTTTATATTTGAGAATCTTCAAATAGTCACCCTTTGCCTTGATGACAGCTTTGTACACTCTTGGCATTCTCTTAACCAGCTTCACCTGGAATGCTTTTCCAACACTTGAAGGAGTTCCCACATATGATGAGCACTTGTTGGCTGCTTTTCCTTCACTCTGCGGTCCGACTCATCCCAAACCATCTCAATTGGGTTGAGGTTGGGGGATTGTGGAGGCCAGGTCATCTGATGCAGCACTCCATCACTCTCCTTCTTGGTAAAATAGCCCTTACACAGCATGGAGGTGTGTTGGGTCATTGTCCTGTTGAAAAACAAATGATAGTCCCACTAAGCCCAAACCAGATGGGATGACGTATCGCTGTAGAATGCTGTGGTAGCCATGATGGTTAAGTGTGCCTTGAATTCTTAATAAATCACAGACAGTGTCACCAGCAAAGCACCCCCACACCATAACACCTCCTCCTCAATGCTTTACGGTGGGAAATACACTTACGGAGATCATCCATTCACCCACACCACGTCTCACAAAGACACGGTGGTTGGAACCAAATATCTCCAATTTGGACTCCAGACCAAAGGACACATTTCCACCGGTCTAATGTCCATTGCTCGTGTTTCTTGGCCCAAGCAGGTCTCTTCTTCTTATTGGTGTCCTTTAGTAGTGGTTTCTTTGCAGCAATCCGACCATGAAGGCCTGATTCACCCCTGTCCCCTCTGAACAGTTGATGTTGAGATACAGTTGAAGTCAGAAGTTTACATACACCTTAGCCAAATACATTTAAACTCAGTTTTTCACAATTCCTGATATTTAATCCTAGTAAAAATTCCTTGTCTTAGGTCAGTTAGGATCACCACTTTATTTTAAGAATGTGAAATGTCAAGTAGAGAGAATTATTTATTTCAGCTTTTATTTATTTCATCACATTCCCAGTGGGTCAGAAGTTTACATACACTCAATTAGTATTTGGTAGCATTGCCTTTAAATTGTTTAACTTGGGTCAAACATTTCAGGTAGCCTTCCACAAGCTTCCCACAATAAGTTGGGTGAATTTTGGCCCATTCCTCCTGACAAAGCTGGTGTAACTGAGTCAGGTTTGTAGGCCTCCTTGCTCGCACACGCTTTTTCAGTTCTGCCCACAAATGTTCTATAGGATTGTGGTCAGGGCTTTGTGATGGCCACTCCAATACCTTGACTTTGTTGTTTTAACTTCCTGACTGATGTCTTGAGATGTTGCTTCAATATATCCACATCATTTTCCTTCCTCATGATGCCATCTATTTTGTGAAGTGCACCAGTCCCTCCTGCAGCAAAGCACCCCCACAGCATGATGCTGCCACCCCCGTGCTTCACGGTTGGGATGGTGTTCTTCGGCTTGCAAGCCGTCCCCCCCTTTTTCCTCCAAACATAACGATGGTAATTATGGCCAAACAGTTCTATTTTTGTTTCATCAGACCAGAGGACATTTCTCCAAAAAGTACGATCTTTGTCCCCATGTGCAATTGCAAACCGTAGTCTGGCTTTTTTATGGCAGTTTTGGAGCAGTGGCTTCTTCCTTGCTGAGCTACCTTTCAGGTTATGTCAATATAGGATTCGTTTTACTGTGGATATAGATACTTTTGTACCCGTTTCCTCCAGTATCTTCACAATGTCCTTTGCTGTTGTTCTGGGATTGATTTGCATTTTTCGCACCAAAGTACGTTCATCTCTAGGAGACAGAACACGTCTCCTTCCTGAGCGGTATGATGGCTGCGTCGTCCCATGGTGTTTATACTTGCATACTATTGTTTGTACAGATGAACGCGGTACCTTCAGGCGTTTGGAAATTGCGCCCAAGGATGAACCAGACTTGTGGAGGTCTACATTTTTTCCCCCTGAGGTCTTGGCTGATTTCTTTTGATTTTCCCACAAGCAAAGAGGCACTGAGTTTGAAGGTAGGCCTTGAAATACATCCACAGGTACACCTCCAATTGACTCAAATGATGTCAATTAGCCTATCAGAAGCTTCTAAAGCCATGACATCATTTTCTGGAATTTTCCAAGCTGTTTAAAGGCACAGTCAACTTAGTGTATGTAAACTTCTGACCCACTGGAATTGTGATACAGTGAATTATAAACAATTTTTGAAAAAAGTTATTTTGTCATGCACAAAGTAGATGTCGTAACCGACTTGCCAAAACCATAGTTTGTTAACAAGAAATTTGTGGAGTGATTGAAAAACAAGTTTTAATGACTCCAACCTAAGTGTATGTAAACTTCTGACTTCAACTGTATGTCTGTTACTTGAACTCTGTGAAGCATTTATTTGGGCTGCAATTTCTGAGGCTGGTAACTCTAATGAACTTATCCTCTGCAGCAGAGTTAACTCTGGGTCTTTCATTCCTGTCGCGGTCCTCATGAGAGCCAGTTTCATCATAGCGCTTGATGGTTTTTGCAACTGCACTGGAAGAAACTTTCAAAGTTCTTGAAATGTGCCGTATTGACTGACTTTCATGTCTTAAAGTAATGATGGACTGTCGTTTCTCTTTGCTTATTTGAGCTGTTCTTGACATAAAAATGGACTTGGTCTTTTACCAAATAGGGCTATCTTCTGTAAACCCCCCCTACCTTGTCACAACACAACTGATTGGCTCAAACGCATTAAGAAGGAAAGAAATTCCACAAATTAACTTTTAAGAAGGCACACCTGTTAATTGAAATGCATTCCAGGTGACTACCTCATGAAGCTGGTTGAGAGAATGCCAAGAGTGTGCAAAGCTGTCATCATGTGGTCCTCTGTAGCTCAATTGGTAGAGCATGGCGCTTATAACGCCAGGGTAGTGGGTTCGATCCCCGGGACCACCCATACCTAAAAATGTATGCACGCATGACTGTAAGTCGCTTTGGATAAAAGCGTCTGCTAAATGGCATATTATTATTATATTATCAAGGCAAAGGATGGCTATTTGAAAAATCTCCAAATATAAAATATATTTTGATTTGTTTAACAGTTTTTTGGTTACTACATAATTCCATATGTGTTATTTCATAGTTTTGATGTCTTCACCATTATTCTACAAAGTAGAAAATAGTAAAAAAAAAAAAAAAAAAAAAGAAAAACCCTGGAATCAGTAGGTGTGTCCAAACTTTTGACTGGTACTGTATGTTGTACCCCCATGAAGGAAGCTATGGTTGAGCCACTCACCAGCACATCAGTGTTCTCAAAGTAGTTTCTCCAGTAGGGTCTGATCTTCCTCTGTCCCCCGATGTCCCACACATTCAATTTAAAACCCTGAGACTGAACACTCTTTATATTGAAGCCCTGGAGAGAGAAAGAGGGTTTATAAGTGATAGTCTTGCACAAATAACACCCCCAAACCCCTAGTGATGCGCGTGTGTGTGTTCCCCAGTAGTACTGTACCTGTGTGGGGGTGATGTGACTGATGTCCTCGGAAGCAAGTTGTTTAAGCAGTGTGGTCTTTCCTCCGTTGTCCAAACCCAGCAACAAGATCCGAACCTCCTGATCTGGTGTGCTCTTTAGCTTCCGAAGTATTGACAGCAAACCCTGCAACAAATCAAAACCTGATCCGTTATCAGTTATCCCGACTCATGACATGAGCAATGGAGCAGCAACAGGAGGATACCTGCTATCTAAATTAGCTAACTACAGTAACTAGCTAGCTGGCTACTCGCATTCCTCCACAACAGGACGATCAATTGCCTGCGACTCGAGTATCGAGGATACAGGAAAATAGAGGATTTGTTTTATTTATTTATTTAACCTTTATTTAACCAGGTAAGCCAGTTGAGAACAAGTTCTCATTTACAACTGCGACCTGGCCAAGATAAAGCAAAGCAGTGCAATTAAAAACAACAACAACACAGAGTTACATATGGAATAAACAAAACGTACAGTCAATAACACAATAGAAAATCTATATACAGTGTGTGCAAATATAGTAAGTTATGGAGGTAAGGCAATAAATAGGCCATAGTGCAAAATAATTACAATTTATTATTAACACTGGAGTGATATATGTGTAGAAGATGATGTGCAAATAGAGATACTGGGGTGCAAATGAGCAAAATAAATAACAATGTAAATAACAATATGGGGATGAGGTAGTTGGGTGGGCTGATTACAGATGGGCTGTGTACAGGATGATTCTCGAACTAATGATTCTCTCTAGGAAGACACGATGGTTTCAAATAGGGAAAGCGTTCTGAAGCGACTGAGCTAGCTAGCTAATTGTGTAGTTAGCAGCAGTTTCAAAGGGTTTAGCTATGCTAGGCTGCTAATCTCATGATAAACCGACGGAGCAACAAGACCGCTGCAGTCACCTCTTCCAACAAAATCTTTATTTTTTCACAAATGTATGAATGTCTTAAAAGGTACAGTGGCAGCATTTTGAACAATCGTATTCAATAGTATTGTTTACTATGCATGTATTTGATTCGATCTACATGATAATAGCTATTTATCGCAATACATTGAACTCACCATCTTGTTGCTTTATCTCCCCAAGACGCTGCCGAGGTTACTAGGGCCCCTAGGAGGGGGTGATGACGTTGTACACAAGCTCCCGCGTAAGAGCACAACAAGTGTGGGCGTAAACTAGGGCACGCCACTTAGCATTATAATTCGCCACTTTAGCTATTAACAAAAGCTCTGTCAACAAAAAGTTGACCATGTAAGTTGTTCCCACGATTGAAATACATTATGTTCTAGTGGAGGCATAAATACCAACACTGCACATTTATTATAAGCTATCTTCATCATTGTGTCGTTTTAGCTGGATAGCTGGCTAACTAGCATTGTTGTCACGTTCTTATTTGCAATGTAACGTTATATTGTGTTTGATTTGCATATTTTAAAGGATGAGATGACTGAAAGTACAGATAATAATTTATTTATTCCTTAATGTATTTTCTAGAGAGTGAGATACCCCGGTCTGCGGAGAAGGCGGTGCCAGTGTCACGTGCACCCTCCCCTACTACGCCAAAAACGACAATCCCCAGTTGAAACAATTAGTAATAGCTAGTTGTAACATCTTTGCAGTTCTGTTCTGAAAGGTAACGTATGTGTTCACTTACTTTGTTTGCATGTATTGTTACAGTACGATTGTTTCGCTCTATGTTTTGCACCGTTTCGTATTTCTGGACTTGCTTGTTGGACACAGCTGCTATTCTCCATGCTTCGCAAAATGCGGCTATCTTGACAGGCAACTTTTATCTGTCTGTTGAATGACAGCTTTACGGTGATTCCAAGAATGTCCCCACAATATATGATGGTCAAATGCATGTAGGAGTGCAGCTGTTCTAGACATGCAATCGCAGATGCACTTGGCACAGGATCGATGTCAACAATTAGTTTAGCTTCTGGACAGTCTTGCAAGATTGCTTCGCATGTAAGGTAGCTAGTTACTTGTTTCCTGCTGCAGTTGAAGTTAATTGCCTTTTTTAGGGTAGTTTCTTTCTCTCTCTCTCGCTCATGGTTGAACTGTTAGGACTCATTAGTAATCAGTACCTTTCTCTCCTTGTCTGCTTTCTCTCATTTGCTACAGTTCTGCAGAACAGGTTTCACACCCAGTTTTCAGATCAGTGCAGATGGAGGAGACAAGGATAGGGGGCCACTGTAGAGTTTTGAGATATATCCAGTCTAACTAGACTGCCCTGTGGGAAATGAATACCTGTGGTTGATCATAGCCTTACCCCAGACAAGTCTCAACCTCATCACATCACATGCTTTAAGGCTTCTCTTCAACTCCATCACCCCCTATTATTCATTCACATCTTCCTCCCTGCACCCTTCTATCCCTCTGCCCTTACTCTCTCATTCTCTTCACACCATCCATACCAAACGTTTGTTTAAATCATTAATTTGTTCATATATTTATTTACGTTTGTTTATTCGTCCATTCAGACTTGGTCAATGATATAGTGATATGTTGCTGTACTGAGATGCTAGATGCTATTCTGCTCAGTCACAGTGTGCAGCTGCAGCAGAGAGAGTAGACACACTGTGACCCTGCTGTTCAAACATACAGCTCTGGTTCCAGCCTACTTCTAACTTTCCCTGGGCCTGGGTGCATCTCAATAGTCTAGACTGGCCTCCTCTCCTCCTCCTCCTCCCTGCCTGATATCCTTACCTGCACTGCTCTAATCTGAAAACACCAGAGGTTATACTTTAATCTGTCTGGAAATTTGTTTGAAGTTGTCCATTTGTTCACATCAATACAGATGAAAGAAAGGAGACCAGTAGAGGAAGCCACTTTAATTTAAACTATTGAGCTGCAGCCCTGGTCAACAGGCACTGGTTTCTGGCTGTTTGAAATAGGTAGGAAATGCTCCTTTTGAATAACTTTGGAAGCGTGGATGATCAATTAATTAATTATAAATGAAATCTTTGTTCAGTTTGAGTGAGAGATAGACACACACCGCGGGAACCGCAGGGAGGTCTGCCCCAAGGTTGGGTTCAAAGATTATGGCTATCTGTACAGAGCAGGTTTGAATGGTTAGAAAGTAGCCTGGGAGGGGAGATTGTTTTTACAAAGGAAAATGTGAATGATATGATACTGTAATAACATAGGTTGTCCCAAGATTAGACCTACGATTTATTAGGCCTATACTAAAGTGGGCTATTCTAACTGAAAACAGGAAAAGGAATCAACATGTCTTTCTGTGTTTCTGTTCTTCCAGGGGCAGGCCAGAGCGGCTGAGTGGACCACGTTGATACAGGACCAAGGTGCTAAACGGTGACAGCAGACTCAACTCAGTTTGGGACCGCGGAGGTGGTTTGGAGACCTTGTTTGTGACTTTAGACCTAGGTGGTGAGGCGGAGGGTTACGATGGCTGTGAGCGGGTTTGACATAGATGGGCCGCGGTGGGATCAGTCCACGTTTATGGGCAGACTGAAGCACTTTGCCAACATCAGACTGGAGGACAGCACTACTGTCAGACTCACAACTGGACGAGGCTAAAGCACTGGTGGAAAGCTGCAGGTAACGCACACACACACCACTGTGAAGTACACACACACACAGATACCTCAAGGTTAGAGCGGTGGGCCAGTAACCGAAAGGTCACTGGTTCGAATCCCTTGAGCAAGGCACTTAACCCTATTTGCTCCAGGGACGCTGGTAAAATGGTGGACCTTGGCTCTGACCCCAACTCAGTCTCGGAGTTGGGATATGCTAGAAACACATTTGTGTAATAGGGCAAATATAATTAAGCACCCACCAAATTATATAATTATTATACCACTGTGAAGTAGTAATTTCCCTGCAGTGTTATTAATAGTAGAGTTATGTCTACAGTTGTTGTTTCTCGTGATGAGAACCTGGGTTATGTGTGTTTCTCCTGTTCTAGAGCGGCTTCCCTTCCCCCTGTCACCACAGAGGAACAGCTGCATTACGCCAAGAAGCTCTATGACTCCGCCTTTCACCCAGACACCAGCGATCTCATGAACCTGATTGGTCGAATGTCCTTCCAGGTGCCCGGAGGGATGGCCATAACAGGCGGTATGCTACAGTTCTACAGGTACACACACACACACACACACACACACATATATCAGACAAAATGAACGATCTATAGATTAGTGGTCCTCTGTAGCTCAGTTGGTAGAGCATGGCACTTGTAATGCCAGGGTAGTGGGTTCGTTCCCCGGGACCACCCATACGTAAAAATGTATGCACACATGACTGTAAGTCGCTTTGGATAAAAGCGTCTGCTAAATGGCATTATTATTATTATTATTATTATTAGCCAGAGATAGGTGAGTTTGGTGCAATGACTTCTAGTCATGTATTGCTGTCCTTTTTTCCCCACTCTTTCTCTCTCTCCATCTCTAGGACAGTCCCTGCTGTAGTGTTCTGGCAGTGGGTGAATCAGTCATTTAACACGCTAGTCAACTACACCAACAGAAACGCTGCTTCCCCCATTACCTCCAAGTAAGACCCTGCAGACCAAACACACACACTGCTGTGGTGAATGTAATGTAATGCACATGGAGAATATCAAGAGCTATTTAGAGTGCATTCGGAAAGTATTCAGACCCCTAGACTTTTTCCAAATTTTGTTACATTACAGCCTTATTCTAAAATTGATTAAATGTTTTTTTCCCCCCCCCTTATCAATCTACACACAATACCCCATAATGACAAAGCAAAAACAGGTTTTTAGAAATGTTTGCAAATGTAAAAAAATAACAAAAATAATCACATTTACATAAGTATTCAGACCCTTTACTCAGTACTTTGTTGAAGCACCTTTGGCAGTGATTACAGCCTGAAGTCTTCTTGGGTATGACGCCCATCCCATTCTTCTCTGCAGTTCCTCTCAAGCTCTGTAAGGTTGGATGGGGAGCGTCGCTGCACAGCTATTTTCAGGTCTCTCCAGAGATGTTCGATCGGGTTCAAGTCCGGGCTCTGGCTTGGCCACTCAAGGCCATTCAGAGACTTGTCCCGAAGCCACTCCTGGGTTGTCTTGGCTGTGTGCTTAGGGTCGTTGTCCTGTTGGAAGGTGAAGCTTCGCCCCAGTCTGAGTTCCTGAGCGCTCTGGAGCAGGTTTTCATCAAGGATCTCTCTGTACTTTGCTCTGTTCATATTTCCCTCGATCCTGACTAGTCTCCCAGTCCCTGTCGCTGAAAAACATCCCCACAGCATGATGTTGCCGCCACCATGCTTCACCGTAGGGATGGTGCCTGGTTTCCTGCAGATGTGATACTTGGCATTCAGGCCAAATAATTCAATATTGGTTTCATCAGACCAGAGAATCTTGTTTCTCATGGTCAGAGTCCTTTTAGGTGCTTTTTGGCAAACCTTTTGGTAAACCCTAAGCATGCTGTTTTGTGCCTTTTACTGAGGAGTGGCTTCCGCATCCCCACTCTACTATAAAGGCCTGATTGGTGGAGTTCTGCAGAGATGGTTGTCCTTCTAGAAGGTTCTCCCATTTCCACAGAGGAACTCTGGAGCTCTGTCAGAGTGACCATCGGGTTCTTGGTCACCTCCCTGACCAAAGCCCTTCTCCCCCGATTGCTCAGTTTGGCCGGGCGGCCAGCTCTAGGAAGAGTCTTGGTGGGTCCAAACTTCTTCCTTTTTAAGAATGATGGAGGCCACTGTGTTCTTGGGGACCTTCAATGCTGCAGAAATATTTTGGTACCCTTCCCCAAATCTGTGCCTTGACACTATTGTTGTGACGTGACTTTCATTAAAATGATGACTGTTATTTATCGAATCAACTAACTGTGTTTAATTGTTACTCAATTAAATTAATCATGTAACAATGAACTCATTAGGATTTGGGGCACCATGGAAGAAGTTGTTTATAGAGTTACCATCTCCCGAATTAAACTCTAAAAGGTCTTTACTTATTACTATGTATAAAACAGTCAACGTATCAATCATTACCTCTTATCAGTCTCATTCTGAATGGTCGTAGACTTATTGGATCTGCACGAACCCCAGCTTTACTTATGATTCTGTATTACACAAATTGGCTTAATTATTTATTTACTCGCTAACTAAATAATAACACAGAATACATACATACTTAATATATGAGAAAAAGTCCCTAGCGGACTAACAACTGCATGACTGCTTGGTTATCAAAAGAGGGAGGGGTAGATAGGGAGAGACAAAGAGAGAGTCAAACTTATCGTTGATACATTTGGAAGCTACCCTCAAAGTAATCATAATACTTTGCTCACGAACCACAGCCCCTTTGTGGAGTAAGAAACCAGTGAATGTATTTACGTGTTTACCGCTCGTCTATCTCTGTGGACCCAAGCCCTCTTGGAAAGGAGGTTTTGACCGGGTCTTCGCTCAGCTCACTTGTAAAGCTCTGATTGTCCACCGGAGGTCACAATGTCCTTCTTCTTTGTTCTGGCTTGTAGTGGAGTGTACTCAGAGCAGATACTTGGTGGTTGTCTGAGATGGGATGTTCTCCTTCCCACCTCGTGTCTTTAGTCAAAGTTCTAGACTGCAGACTGGCAATGTTCTGGTCTAGTGAGTTTATCTTCTTCACTTCCTGTTGAGATTCAAAGTTCTAACCATTTCAAACGTGTAGCCACCGCTCCACGCTTTCTGGTCTGATGGTATTTGTTACCAAGGCTTTTTATGCACTCAGGTAAAAGGGGCGTTCCTACTTGCTGACACGGTCTCTGAGCTCACTCGGGGCGTGGCTATGTCCGGTCGTGCATAGTTTATATGAAAACCTATGATCTCGTTAGAGATCTGAAATCACATTAATATCTTAACAAAAATACTTTTTCATTTCTTATACACAATGTATTGGATGAAGACTTGACAGATAGAATGTGTATACTTTCCAAATGACAGTACTTTCTTGATACCATCCTTAATGACATCACAAAATAATAAACAATATGACATGATTATTCTTTAGATCCCCACTGACCATTCCCCACATTCTGATGTTGGAAATATTGATCCAGTGTTCACTTTTTGGACGTAAAGGTTTTGGCGGCAAAAGTCTTCTGGAGACAAAGCACGCTCCTTTACCAATACTGAAGAGCAAGGGAGAGATTCCCCTCCTGCCTAATTTACCACCGAGTGTTAAGGTGTTAAAACCGGCCCTGCCCCCCTTCCCCTTTTCTGTGGGTGAGAGGGTCTGTTTGTTGTCAGCCATTTGCCAAGCTGATCTGAGGCCTTTGGATCCTCAGCCAGGAGAGTCATGACACTATCCTGTCTCGAAGCTCTACGGACAACTCCTTCGACCTCATGGCTTGGTTTTTGCTCTGACATGCACTCTCAACTGTGGGACCTTATATAGACAGGTGTGTGTCTTTCCAAATCATGTCCAATCAATTGAATTTACCACAGGTGGACTCCAATCAATTTGTAGAAACATCTCAAGGATGATCAATGGAAACAGGATGCACCTGTGCTCCATTTCGAGTCTCATAGCAAAGGGTCTGAATACTTATGTAAATAAGGTATTTCTGTTTTTAATTTGTAATACATTTGCAAAAATGTCTAAAACCCTGGTTTCGCTTTGTCATTATGGGGTATTGTGTGTTTATTGATGAGCAAAAAAATTAAATTAATCCATTTTAGAATAAGGCTGTAATGTAACAAAATGTGGAAAAGGGGTCTGAATACTTTCTGAATGCAGTGTATCTCTGCTCTCCCTCTTCAGTCAGAAAGGAGTAGCCTATTTAACAGCCACTAGCACAGCTCTAGTTACTGCTGTGGGACTCAACCTCTACACAAAGGTACAGATTAATGCACACACCCGCCCACGCACACACACACACACACACAAACTGGTTTGATTGATTACATGTTCCACTTCTTCTTCCTGTCTTGTCTCCGCCCCTTCCTGTAGAAAGCTCCTCCCCTGGTGGTGTGCTGGGTTCCATTTGCGGTGGTGCTCCTCCCCTGGTGGCGTGCTGGGTTCCATCCAGCTAACTGTGTCAACATCCCAATGATGAGGTAACAGTGAGTTAATCTATGCTCCTAGTGTATTAGCATCTCCATGAAGACACAACAGTGAGTTGTAGACCGTCTCCTTCTCTCCTCTCAGAGAGCTCCTGAATGGCATCGCTGTAACAGATGAGAATGGAAACAAACTGGGTCATTCCAAGGTAACGGCACTGGGAATGTCTGGATAATTAAATATTCAACTAAATATCGTATTTCTGACTGTTATACAAGAGCAGAAAAATTACATTTTCCCTCTCGCTCACAACAGAAAGCAGCTGTGAAGGGCATCACCCAGGTGGTCATTTCCCGGGTTACCATGGCAGCACCGGGCATGGGTACGTGTCTGAGGTTTAAGGGGGAGGGCTGTAGAATTTGAGCTCAGTCTTCGCTCCATAGACAATGGAAAGCTGTGATCCTGTTACTCCCTACAATGACTCATTCCACTCCTCTTGTTTCCACCGGCCACTCTCTCTTTTATCCACTTTCTCTCCTTCCGTGCTCCCCCTCTCTTCTCCTAGTCATTCTCCCCATCATCATGCAGAGACTGGAGAAATACGTGTTTATGCAGGTGGGCCTTTAATCAAAACACTAAATGCTGCTACTAGACATGCATAGGCTAGCTAGCTGCAATGTTATTGAATAAACATTCAGCGTTACAGTTGTGTTGACTAAATATCCAGTTACATTGTTCTTGACTAAGCATGCTTAGAGTGCAGATTGAAGTAGGGAGGTTTCACCATTAATTCTTTTTGTTTGGTTCTACATTTCTCTGGGTGTGCCAAATGGCACCCTATTCCCTATATAGTGCACTACTTTTGACTAGAGCCCTATGGGGCCCTAACCAAAAGTAGTGCACTATGTAGTAAGGAATAGGTTACCATTTGGGATGCAACCGTACATGTCTCTGTCTTAGTAGGCACACAGTCACCTAACCCTCCATGTCTGTTTTGCAGCCTGGTCTTCATGGTGCCTGCAGCCTGTTCCCTCAGCAATGGTAAGTAGCCTGTCGACTGGGCAGCGTTCAGTAGGACCCCTTCATGATTTAGTAGCTGTTTTAGCATCTCATCTCTACGATCAGCAAACGCATGTTGTAGGATAGTGCTCAAGATCACACCTACAGTAACATGTTAGACTCTGCCTTGGTTTGGATCTCACTCCGTCTTCCTCTCGCTTTCTTTCAGCTCCATGGGCAGGTCTAAGCTGGAGCCAGAGCTAGGGAGTCCATCTTGTCTCGCTATGGGGACAGTGTACAATACGTCTACTTCAACAAGGGCCTCTGAAAACACACACACACCTGCCTTCTTAGTCATCGGCCAAACAGGGAGAGCACCTGAAAACATTTTACTAAATGAACCAATCAGCATCCTCGGCAGGGCGATGTCCAATAGGAACGCTCGTAGGAGAAATAGCTTTCTCCTGGTTTGTCTTTGGTTATTTTCAACGAATCTTTGTGATTGTAGTGGAAATGTTCTCCAGAAGATACCGACCCTACCGTTACGCTTGTTTAAACTGAGCTGCACTGGGGTCAGAATGTAGTCATGGTTACATTAAGACACATGGAGCCGGTGCGAGATATGGGTCTGAAAACATACCTCAATGTAGGGATGCGATATGTCACTGTACTCCAAATGTTATCTTTATCCACACTGGATATCTTCTATCAATTAAGAGTTAATGTGTGTGTGTGTGTGTGAATTCTCTTTTTGTACCACTGTCCATAATGTTAATTTGCATACATTTGTATGATTCAAGTGAGGCTACTAATCGTGCAGTTTGTCCTGTCTGAAAATCTCCAATCACACATTTCAACCTCTTTAGAAAACTGTCTGGAAGGACAATGACCCTTTGGACATTGTGAGTGTGTCCCAAATGACACCCTATTTCCTACATAGTGCACTACTTTTGACCAGAGCCCTTTGGGTGTCAGTTCAGAAGCAGCCTGTGTTGGTGACTCTTGACCTCAGATTAAACTATTACCAACTGTGTGTGTGTACACATCTCAGTGTTGGGTGCAAATGAAGTGTAGTGTATTTCCCAAACAATGTGTTGCAGTATCGTGCTTCTACATCTGCATTGCTTGCTGTTTGGGGTTTTAGGCTGGGTTTCTGTGTAGCACTTTGTGACATCTGCTGATGTAAAAAGGGCTTCATAAATGAAATGTGATTGATTGAATAGGTGATTTCTAAAGGCATCATGCAGATGTTCTGTGGTTTTGTGCTCAGCTCTACGCATAAGTGTTCTGAGTCTATGGTTCCACAGTTTAGTGTTCTAGAATGCTTGTGTTCACATGCCCTGAAGTGAAGCGAGCCTAGCCAATGTACTTTTGGCTGATCGTGAAGAAGTCGTTGATGCCACCAGATTGTTATTGACAAGTATAATTTATTCTCATTGACTAAGCTGCCTTGGTGCGTTTTGTGTCAGGAGTCTAGTTCTGTACTGCAGTCAGTCAAGAACTGAAAGACTGGGATATACATGGGTATTATACAACCTCACTGTGATTCTTCTCTAATGGAATTAGCCTGTTCTGGTTTTCTGGGGAAAGAGAGGCTGTGACGCGACTTCTGCTTTTGGACGTGAACAAGGCGACACTCCACTTAACTCCTCCTCCACATTTACTGGATTGGTTGAACAAGAAGAGAACCTCTCCCGTCTGTTTTTTTTGTCATCAAGATCAGTATTGCCTTGTTCAAAACAACTGGGAACTCTGAAATCTCAGACTTCAGTGTGTTCAAGACAACTAGGAACTCCGAAAGAAACGAGCTATCGAGAAAAATTGTTTTGAACGGTCATCCAGCTCGGAATTCCAAGTCGGAAACTCGGCATCTTTCTACAGCTCTGACTTTCCGACCTGAAGATCACTGACGTCATGATTTGACCTCGGTTATTTCCGAGTTCCCAATTGTCTCTAAAGCACCATAAGTAGGGGATCACTGGCGCTTTCAAGACAACTGGGAACTCTGAAAAAAACGAGGTAAAATCATGACTTCAGTGATCTTCAGGTCAGAAAGTCGGAGCTGTAGAAAGATGCCGGACTTTTCGATCTCTAATTCTGAGTTGGATGACAGTTCAAAACGATTTTTCCCAGTAGGGGGAATGAGTTCCCAGGTGTTTTTGAACGCAACGCTAGTTTAAGGCATTTCTTTTAGCCTGCTACGTTAGGTTACATCCTTACTGATGTAGAAGTTGTGGTAATACAAACGTACCACCAGGGGACAATGTCTTCTTATGGACAGAGAGCAGCAGAAACTGAAACGCCCCGCTTCCCAGATGCAGCCCTGTTCCCTATATCCCTCAAACTCAACTCTGGACCTTGAAGCCAGTGCCACTGCTTTTTTTATTGTTTCCCTCTATTTAGGGACGGATTTGGACCTGGGACACCAGGTGTGTGCAATTATCAGGTAGAACAGAAAACCAGCAGGCTCTGGACCTCATAGGCTAAGAGTTTAATACTATAGCCCGCTCAAGTTATACAACTGATGTATATGCATTTGGCGGTTGTTGTGATACAAGTGAGAGTTTTTTGTAAAAAAATAGCTTTGTGAGGTAGTATTTGAACTAGGCTAGGACCTGAGGGGTATACTACAAAGTAGGTTCAAAGAGTTAGCCTGCGAACTTGCCTAAATATTCTGAAATAAACAGGAGGTTGGTGGCACCTTCATTGGGGAGGACGGGCTCGTGGTAATGGCTGGAGTGGAATAAGGTTTCCATGTGTTTGATGCCATTCCATTTACTCCTTTCCAGCCATTATTATGAGCCGTCCTCCCCTAAGCAGCCTCCACTGCTGAAATAACGTATTTTTTTTTAAAGATAAGCTTGAAATTGGCATGGTCTGCATAACTCAACAACCAAAAACACCTAAGTTTAGCTTTGTTTATGAACCAGAAAATAAATGGTTATGTCTGCTTGTTTATCAAAGTTATCTGGCTAACTTATTGAATCTACTTTGTAGTATACCCCTCTGGCCAGTGAGACCAACGAGCAGCTCCAGCCTTTCCAGCCTTTCCATGCGTCTGCTAACATTTCCATACTATTGTGGATGATAAAACACTGGACACTTTCAACAAGATTCTTCGCCATTTCCAGAATGAGTCACACCAATGTCAATTCCCTGAGCAGAACATTTCTTTCAAAGGTATTATTAATCTGTGTTAGCATTTTCAAACCTTCTGATACATTTATAATGGCATTTCCAATGCTGATACATTTACAATGGCATTTTCAATATGCAGTAATCTTCATAATGCCACATTGTTATTCCTGCGGTGGTCAACAATCAGCCCCAAAACCATTTTAAGATCTAAAATGTGGTATCCTTTATTCTTCTTAATGTCAAACATACTCAAGTCCAAATTTCCCTCCCTGAACATTAAAATTTGTTCAACAGGCAAAGTACTTCAAGTACTCCGTGCAATTTGGGAAGCAGGCTGTTTTCGGAACCCAAAACAGAGATTCTCTATTTAGTCAGCAGCCTTACATTTACATTTTAGTCATTTAGCAGACGCTCTTATCCAGAGCGACTTACAGTTAGTGCATACATTATTTTTATTTTTTCATACCCCCTGTGGGAATCGAACCCACAACCCTGGCGTTGCAAACGCCATGCTCTACCAACTGAGCTACATCCCTGCCGGCCATTCCCTCCCCTACCCTGGACGACGCTGGCCTTCAGTGGTGCAACAACAGGAGGTTGGTAGCACCTTAATTAGGGAGGACAGGCTTGTGATAATGGCTGGAGTGGAATGGTATCAACTACATAAAACACATGGGTTCCATTCACTCCTTTCCAGACATTATTATGAGCCGTCCTCCCCTCAGCAGCCTCCACTGGGTGCAACATGTGAAACACTTAATTGAAATCAAGGATTGATAACAACCAGCAGCACAGACACACGGAGAAAGTTATTATTTCAAAGGTTTGGTTTTATTTGATCATACTGTTGTATATTTTTGTCCATCGATTGAACGTCCACAAAGGACTTACACAAAGCATTAAACACATGCATAGTCTGGTTGTATTCAAACTCCACCCCTTTATCTCACTCTCCATTTCTTTTCTCCCACACACCCCATCCACCCCTCCCTACCACCTTGACACATGTACATCTGAAAGTATGGGATAAGGTAGAAGAAACGTGGTATTACCCAGGCATTGCCTTCTGAAGGATAGAATGTTCACCATCTTTCTATCTATCCAAGCCTCTTTAGATCTATGCAAGTGCCTTCCTCGCAGGTAGGTGGCTAGGGGTGAGATGATCTTTCTCTCATGTGCTCCCAGCGAAAGAAAAACGTTCCACTTCACTGTACCACCATTTTTTTTTTTTTAAGAGATAGACTTGATAGGGAGAAACACAAAATCTATAATAGATGTAACACTGTAAAACAAAATGGAATCAAAATGGAAACACCACTTTTTTTTATTATTATTCAAATTATGCTTCTGATACTTTAAAGCCAAATGAATACAAAGCATTCTTCTGAGATGTTAGGAGTATGTGCCCGTCAAAGACCTCAGAAGGAAACCTATTGTTGTGGTTTCCCGCGAAGTTAAACTCTTCTCCAGGCATTGTAAGATCTGCACAGCGCAACGGACTGCAGTTAAGACTACCTGGAACGTGGCCTGGCTGGCTGGTTGCGTCCCATAAGGCACCCTATTCCCTATGTAGTGCGCTACTTTTGACCAGGACCCATATAGTGCACTATATAGGGAATAGGGTGCCATTTGGGATTCACATCTGCCTGTCTGGGGTACTATATTAAAAACACTACAGAGAATCACACGGTTCTATCTTCACTGGATTTCCTCTTCAAAAAGTACAAATCTAGTTCTAATGACAGAAATAACCATTATAAAACAACAAAAGTATATGCATCGCTCCTCCCACCAGCCTTCAATGAGGCATGGGTACTGTACAGCAGTGGAGGCTGGTGGCAGCAGCTATAGGAGGAAAGGCTCATTGTAATGACTGGAATGGCATAAACGAAACTGAGTCAAACAAACATATGGAAACCACATTTAACTCTGTTCCATTTATGCCATTCCAATGAGCCAGTCCTCCTATAGCTCCTCCCACCAGCCTCCACTGCTGTATCGCTATCTAGAGGGAGAGAAGGGGTAGTGGGTGGAGACAGGAGGGGTGAGTGGGGTGTTCAGTCTAGAAGGAGCATCGAGGGGAGAGCGGCATAGGGGTGAGGGTTATGCAGAGTGGGGAGGGGGGGGGGGTAATATGGGATACCATAAAACGTCTTCATCAAACACACCATAGACTGGTCTGGTGAGACATGCATTCTAGAAGGTTGTTTTAAGTGTTATTCCCAGATCTGTGTCTGACTGGGATGCTTTGATTATTCAGACAAAACGAATGCAACTGTTTATAAAAACGAAACTATTTTCTTTCCAAATGTCTATTAGAATAATCTGGGAAGTCCCGCCTCACCATCAATCTGATTGGTCCTAACATGAGTATGAGAAGCAACATCAAACAGCGTTTACTAGAGAAAAAAACAAACACAAAAAGGCAACTTGGAATATGACTTTGGAATCAAACAGAGAATGAGGAAACAATGTTTAGCCATCATTGAATAGATATGGGGTTGTTCTAACCTGGGTAGTTTGAGAGGGGTAGAGGTAGGAGTTTTTAGGGGCAAAGAGGTGCACTTGATTTAGATCCCCTGGCCCGACCGGTAGGCAGAGTTTTCCCTTTTGCAACCATTCCATAGGTCCAAAAGGTGAGTCCTCTGCCCAGGAGACGCACGAGGAGCTAAATCAAGTGCACCTTTCTCTTTAAAGGGCTCTGTCCCAAATGGCACCCTATTCCCTATGCATTCCTTTTGACCTGGGCGCTAGTCAAAAGTAGTGCACTATATAGGGAGCCATTTAAGACACCCATAGTTTAAAGGATGAGTCCTCCTGACGCCAGCCTCAGGGGGATGTGACATCATCATCACTCGACCAGTCTGTGTCTCATGACCCTAAAACACTACACAAACATCCTGACCCGTCTAGCTCCTCCCCCTAGCCTCTAACCCCTACATCATGAGCCCCTGTCTAGCTCCTCCCCCTAGCCTCTAACCCCTACATCATGAGCCCCTGTCTAGCTCCTCCCCCTAGCCTCTAACCCCTACATCATGAGCCCCTGTCTAGCTCCTCCCCCTAGCCTCTAACCCTACATCATGAGCCCCTGTCTAGCTCCTTCCCCTAGCCTCTAACCCTTCTGTGTTTGTTGACCTGAAGGAACCAGGTAGGTGTAAGCAATTTGACAAAAAAACATTTAGGGGGCTAGATGGATCCATCACCCAGGAGGCTGCAGAGGGGAGGACGGCTCATAATAATGGCTGGAATGGAGTCAATTTAATGGTATCATTTATTCCATTCCAGCCATTACTAAGAGCCAGTCCTCCCCAATTAAGGTGCCACCAACCTCCTGTGAATTCCATCACCATTCTATTAACACATCCAGTCCCTTTAGGTCTGCAAACACAAGTAGTAGTAGCTAGGAGTTGTTTTTGGACCAGTAAACAATTTCACCGATCTCTCTCAAATCAAATCAGCTTTGCCTCGTTATATATTTTATATGTGTATCATATTCATCTTGCCCTTTCACACACAACTTATTTTCTCCCCTAATAATTCATGAAATTTTGTTTAGAATGTATTTTTTTTTTTTTTTTATCAGGCTGTGCAGTGGGCAGCTGGAATGGAGTGGTGGCAGGAAGTGATTAGGGTTCCTCGATGTCCAGGAACTCCTTCTTGGGCGGAGCCATACCGCGGTACCAGGAACAGGAGCCGTCGGTCCTCTTGACGCAGGCGTAGTGGTTGGCTTGGCGACCGTACACCTGCTTCTCCATCATCAAGTCTGTCCACAGACACTCCTCTGGAGCAGAGATGGCACAGGGCAGGGAGGCGCAGCGCACAATCTACACACATAGACAGACACAGGTTAAGACCTTTCACAGGAGAGGTTCCCCTACCACATCACCATCCTGCCCTGCGCCCCACCACCTCCCAACCTACCTTGCAGTCACAGCCCATCTGATAGCGCTGAGTCAGACTCTTCTTCTGAGTGGGGCTCATGGACTCCCAGGGAGTGATATAGTCACACAGGGTCACATGCATCTTCCCACCTGCCTCCATTTTGCCTGCGGGGGGGGGGGGGGGGAAGAGAGGGAAGATATGGCGGGGGGGGGGGGGGGGAAGAGAGAGAAGATATGGCGGGGAAGAGAGAAGGAGAGAGGGGAGGAGGGGTTCTTTAAAAACAGCAACAGAAATGTGGTTCTAAAACACTAACCAGGGAGTGAGACCTATCAGACAGAAACGTTTATTTTACTCTTCTCCCCCTTCTTTAGATTGGTAAATGGTTTTCACCATGCCGAGGTCCGGAGGAAACGCTAGCCTCAGAAGTTCCTGGTCTGGTGTTCCCTGTAATTAGGCTGTGTGTGTGTGTTTGTGAGAGAGAGTAGGGAAACCAGAGCATGCATGATCTAATGCCCCTCTGTGTCTCTCTTTACGTCTATCCTGTCTGCTCCAGTTGTGCTCACTCAGCCCCTTCTAGCACAGCCTGATCCCAGATCTGTTTGTGCCGTCTTGTCAACTCCTTGTAACACTACTAACCGTAAGAGGAGGCACGGCAGCACAAACAGCTCTGGGATCAGGCTACTTCTAGCACACAGCGGAGGGAGATGAACTACGTCATGCCATCAGTGTGTGGTAGGGTCAGACAGACGTCTAGCCTCACCTGAGATCAGGTACTCCTTCTTGCCACTGGTATCCAAGGTAACGCCACACACAGCAGAGACCGGAGCAGTGAAGATCGCCTCAATGTCCTGGTCAGGACCCTTAAACATCTACAACTCAACAACAGGTCAGGGGTTAGATAAACACAGGTCTCATATCTAACACAACCACAGGTGAAGGGTTTGAGGTCATGGATATATTCTCACCTTGATCTGTTTGACATCATACTGTATGCTGGTGATGGGGTTCCCATAGATATCATTCCCAGTATCCACCTCCTTCTCCCCCACCACCTTCGCTCGGATCACTGCAGGGAGACAGGGTCAGCGGACATCAACACACACATCCCCAAAACAAAGCTTCTGTTTGAATTCCTTCTCCCACCACAGACCCAGTACATCTAGTTAACCACCTGCAGATGGAGCCCAGGCAGCCTAAACAGCCTCTACTGCAGCCTGACATTCCTACATCACAGTAATAAACCCAAACAACACAGAGTCAAAACAGCCTTTGTTGTTTTGACTTTCAGGATGTGAACTAGCTGCCAGTAACATTCCAGATTTTCATGGCTACGATCACGATTTGATAGCACATATGGACAGGGAGAGATGTGTGCCCTCACTGACAGAAACAAGGGAGTGATTTAGGCACATTATTGAGAGAGACACACCGGGACAGAGAGAGACACACCGGGACAGAGAGAGACACACCGGGACAGAGAGAGACACACCGGGACAGAGAGAGACAGGGACAGAGAGAGACACACCGGGACAGAGATAGGGAGAGAGAGACAGAGAGAGACACACCGGGACAGAGATAGGGAGTGAGAGAGACAGAGACACACCGGGACAGAGAGAGACACACCGGGACAGAGATAGGGAGTGAGAGAGACAGACTAAATGTAGAGACACTGAAGAAAGTATAGATCTAGTATAAACTGTAGTTCCTGTGTGTGTCTGTGCTTTAGCTATGGGGAGAGAATGGAAAATATGAGCAATACGCAAGAACATCAAATCACCAGAGAAAAAAAAGAAAAAAAACACGTACACACTCCACAGGGGTTACTACCATTGCTCTGTCCCCTCGGGTTCCCTTTATGGCTTGGAACAGACGCAGACACGGAGGGGTTTACTGCTGAGTTAACGTCTGACTCCCTCCCTCATCTCTCCCCCTCCCTGGTCCAGGTCGCATGCTTTTCTGCACATGTAACCACTTCCCAAGTTCATACAGAGGGAGCTCACTGTGGCTGATGCAAACACACACACCGAGCGCCAGCGGTATACCTGGCTGGATCGGTCTCCTGCATTCCGTGGAGTTTTTCCCTTCTCTCGTTTCCTGACCCAGAGGCTAATGAGCACTAAGGACTCTGGGAATAGAACAGGGTAGACAGAACGCTCAGCTCAGGGAAACAGTGATTCCGTGATTTGAGACTGCTGCCTGTTTAATGGCTTTTCCTGAATTTGCAGGAATTATGTTTTTTCTCTAAATAGGCACCATTTCCCCCCTGCTACTTCTTGACTAGGTCATATGATCGCCCATGTTGAGAGGAGAGCAGAAACTCTTAGAGGGACAGAGCGAGGTTAACACACACACCTCAACCCAACCATAGCTATGCAGAATGACTTATACCCTCCGTTAACCACCACACTCAACCACTCGCCATCAGTGTGGTGGTTCTAGGGGGTGACCTGGCCTCACTCTTCCAAGCCTCGGGACACTCTGGCTGGCCTGGAGCAGGCTGGGAAGTCCCACGTCTTAAATGGCTACAAGCTATACGTGGAAGAAGGGGTGTGTGTGTGTGTGTGGTCTATGGGAGTAGACCAATGACTGTATAAATGAATGGACAAAGCCATCGATCAAGTGACACCATTCATTCCTATGTGAAGACTCAATAGCGCATTTGAAGCCCAGGAAGTCAGTTAAGATGACGACTCATGTGGGATGTTTTTGTAGACATAACATGCGCAGTTTGAGCTACTCCAGGAAGAGACAGTGCAGGCTAGCTCAGTGCTGCCTCCTCTCATTGCCTATATTTCAAGTTGAAGGCCGACCAGGGTACTGCAGGCTTCCATTAGCTACTATTAATTATCCTTATAACTTCTTCTGTGTGGTATTTTAAAATACCAAGGACATACATCTAGTGTAATATAAGTAATTATTGGTAGCATCACAGTCTTCTAAATGTGTATTTATTTACATGAAGATTGGCCTTTTCCCCCCCTTCACTATAATGGGGGGATCCGGTCTTCTGCAAACAATGCCTGCAGTACCGCGGTCGGCCTTGAACTTCCATGGTTTCAATGAGAGAGGGCAGTCGTTACACACTAGGGTAAATGTTGATCACGTAGCTGTTAGTGTCTCTGGGCTACAGAGGATACAGACCGTGCTGTCTACTGTCTTTGTAGATCCATACACCCACACAGTCATCTTCTCATCTTATTTCCACAGAGTATGGATGGGAGCTTAGCTTAAGCATATTCTTGGCCCCTCTCTGAAAAGTCTAACTTATGTTGATGAGCTTAGTGGGACTGCTACACCAAGAGGTACTTGTGTATGTATGCATAGTCACTAGTCAGAATGACCAGGACTCGGATGAGTTCTGAACACTGTTGACAAAGTCAGAAGATCCCACCCTGTAAGTCAACTGTGTGTGTGTGTGTATGTACCCCATTCTCATGGATATCATGCATATTTGTGAGAGGTCCTTGACTTTTATAGCATTTTCCTTTTGAGTACCCAGAACTGACAGCCAGATGTCATACGCTGCCAGATGGACGCATTCGCGTGTCTGTGAGAGAAGGCTATACATCGCAGTGCTGTGTACGTCTGTGCAGTCTTGCGTGTTCACCCAGTGAGGTGTGTCGCTATCCTGCTGCATTAGGTCTGTGCAGAGCAGGAAAACCCCAGAAACATTCCTGTCATTCCTCACAGCTACACCCCTCAGGAAGGGGGGGAAGAGGGAGAGAGAGATTCGAGCATAATTTATACTACCCTGCTTATTCCATCTTAGTCTCCCCTGCTCTCTCTCTCTTTATGTCTTCCTCTCCTTCATTCTCTTCGCTGTGCCACGTCCACAAGCCAGGCGGCACTCCTAGCCCCACAGCAGACGCTAAAGCACCGTAAACTCATAGGGAACTGTGTGTGTGTCACCTCTGTTCCTGTCCTACACAGTCCTACTGTACATGGCTGCAGCATAGTCAGGTGGAGACACAAGCCTTCAGATCTCAGGCAAAGTTACTAATCATCACGTGAGCCAATCACCACCATTATACATTTCCTGTTGTATCATCATTCAACAGGAAACAGCCAGTGTGCAAAATAATACATTTTGGTTGTTTCCCAAATGGCACAAACTACAATGTGAACGCACAAACTACAATGTGAACGCACAAACTGACACACTTCCAGCATATCTATAGGCCAAAGCCTGAGAGACTGCATTAGTGACCAACTATCCCACTGCTGCCACCAGTGTAGCGACTATGGGATAACAGACAGAGCTGGCAAGCACACTACCACCTGCCATAAAGGACCAGACCTCTTGACAGAGGCTGTAGTAGAGAAACAACAACAATCAGAAGGTGCACGTGAGGGCGTAGCCTGTTGCCGGTCTATCTATACTCACCTACGTCCGTGTTACAGAACGCCTGTTGCGGGTGGACAGGGGCACAGCTGCACGCTTCAACGAGTTCCTCTGCCTGCCACAGAATCAGCAACGTCAGAGTGCAGAGAACGCCGTTAATTGATAAAGGCATTTTCTCCCGCTGTGTTTCCGTTGTTTACCTTCCTTTAAAATGCGGAAAAAAGTGCCCGTATAGAGAGTGAAATTGACGGAGCGGGCTGTAGGTATGTGTCTGTGTCAGCAGAGCTACAATGACCGTTAACCAAGACCAAAGAATAACGGAAGACCGCAGGTCCTGAGCCCCGGGCCGTTGAGTAGGAGGAAAAAACTAAAAAAATCCCCCTTTAGAAAGTCGGGAAGGAAACGCTATTGCACTGTCCAACAGTGTGACCTTCGCTTCTTTCTATCTTTCTGGTGCGATGTCGTTTCTCCGTGATCAGGCGGCTTTTAAGGCTGCTGAAGGTTGGACTCCTCCCCCCTCGGTAACAATTCGTCCAGCGGTAGGCGCTCGAGCCCTGGGTTAAAGGTTTTCCTATTCTCTTTGCCTGTCTACCCAAACTCCTTGCTCCGGCCAAACGCTACGCCACGCCTACGGACGTAGTTTTTTCTCTGCGTTGAGGGGGCTCGATTAATTTCGGCCGGGCGCCCGTGTATACGTGTTTTGCACCGGCTGAAAGTTGATTGCATTCGATTTGGAACCGGGCTGACTCCAGGGCGTGAGCTCTGCACAACCTACGAAGTCGGCTCAAAACAAAAGTGATGTAATTAAACACGTGTAGTAATTAGTAGGATTCTGTGTTTTCCCATGCAAAGTGATTGCTTTTATAGATAGATAGATAGATGTATTTGATCATTTTAAACACAATACAACCACACATGTGGATAATGCATTTAAAATCATCAAGGATGATGCCAAAATTATTTTCATTGTGGTCCTCTTAAATGGCTAAAATGTTTTACAAACATAACATAGTAGGCCTAGGCTAAACAGTAGACCTAACCTACTAGGCATACTTGGGTTACAGATACAGTATAATAAATAATATATATTTTTACTTGTTTAGCGCTTTTAATAAAAAAACGCTTTATCTGCCTTCCCAATGAAAACTAGTTAGAAAATTCAAACATTTATTTTGTGGAAAAGAGATGTATGTTTTTGGATGATACAACATGCTGCCTTGTTGACAAAATATCTGAATGGCGCAAATAACTGTTAGATTTGAGAAGGGTGCTCCTCCCTCACTTTTTGCCCTATGACATGATGGGACTTTTCCCAGTTCAAGCCGGGCCAGCGTAAAATAACTCCCTCATTGAGTCTGGATCTGAGTACTCTCCCAAGGAGTTCTAGAATGGAAATCCATTCTAGTCTGTCTGATTGGTCCCATAAACTGATGGGTTGGGCCAGAGCCAGAATACACATGGGTAAAGCAGCGTTTAAAAATGCGTCCTCAGGCAACTATTCTCTTCTCAAATCAAATCAAATTTTATTGGCTATATTCAAATGTTTAGCAGATGTTATTGCATGTGTAGCGAAATGTTTGTGTTTCTAGCTCCAACAGTGCAATAATATCTAACAATTCACAACAATACACATAATACACACAATCTAAAAGTAAAAGAATGGAACTAAGAAATATATAAATATTAGGACGAGCGATGTCGGAGTGGCATAGACTAAATACAGTAGAATAGAATAAGGTATATACATATGAGATGAGTTACGCAAAAATATGTAAACATGATTAAAGTGACTAGTGTTCCATTATTAAAGTGGCCAGTGATTTCAAGTCTATGTATATAGGGCAGCAGCCTCTAAGGTGCAGGGTTGCATAACCGGGTGGAAGCCGCCTAGTGATGGCTATTTAACAGTCTGATGGCCTTGAGATAGAAGCTGTTTTCAGTCTCTCGGTCCCAGCTTTGATGCACCTGTACTGACCTCGCCTTCTGGATGATAGCGGGGTGAACAGGCAGTGGCTCGGGTGGTTGTTGTCCTTGATGATCTTTTTGGCCTTCCTGTGACATCGGGTGCTGTAGGTCTCCTCTCCTATGTTCTGAATCTCATCCTCTTCCCCGTCCAGTAGAGCTTATTTTTTATTTTTATTTTTTATAAATACAATTTTACATTTACATTTTAGTCATTTAGCAGACGCTCTTATCCAGAGCGACTTACATGAGCAATTAGGGTTAAGTGCCTTGCTTAAGGGCACATCGACAGATTTTTCACCTAGTCGGCCCGTGGATTAGAACCAGCGACCTTTCGGTTACTGGCACAACGCTCTTACCCACTAAGCTACCTGCCGCCCTAAAATAAAATAAAATTTTATTTGCCACATGCGCCGAATACAACAGGTGTAGACATTACAGTGAAATGCTTACTTACAAGCCCTTAACCAACAATGCAGTTTAAGAAAAAAATAAAAATTGCAAATAATTAAAGAGCAGCAGTAAAATAAAATAACAGTAGGGAGGTTATATACAGCGGGTACCGGTACAGAGTCAATGTGCGGGGGCACCGGTTAGTTGAGGTATTTGAGGTAATATGTACAGTGGGGAAAAAAAGTATTTAGTCAGCCACCAATTGTGCAAGTTCTCCCACTTAAAAAGATGAGAGAGGCCTGTAATTTCCATCATAGGTACACGTCAACTATGACAGACAAATTGAGGAAAAAAAATCCAGAAAATCACATTGTAGGATTTTTTATGAATTTATTTGCAAATTATGGTGGAAAATAAGTATTTGGTCACCTAGAAACAAGCAAGATTTCTGGCTCTCACAGACCTGTAACTTCTTCTTTAAGAGGCTCCTCTGTCCTCCACTCGTTACCTGTATTAATGGCACCTGTTTGAACTTGTTATCAGTATAAAAGACACCTGTCCACAACCTCAAACAGTCACACTCCAAACTCCACTATGGCCAAGACCAAAGAGCTGTCAAAGGACACCAGAAACAAAATTGTAGACCTGCACCAGGCTGGGAAGACTGAATCTGCAATAGGTAAGCAGCTTGGTTTGAAGAAATCAACTGTGGGAGCAATTATTAGGAAATGGAAGACATACAAGACCACTGATAATCTCCCTCGATCTGGGGCTCCACGCAAGATCTCACCCCGTGGGGTCAAAATGATCTCAAGAACGGTGAACAAAAATCCCAGAACCACACGGGGGGACCTAGTGAATGACCTGCAGAGAGCTGGGACCAAAGTAACAAAGCCTACCATCAGTAACACACTACGCCGCCAGGGACTCAAATCCTGCAGTGCCAGACGTGTCCCCCTGCTTAAGCCAGTACATGTCCAGGCCCGTCTGAAGTTTGCTAGAGTGCATTTGGATGATCCAGAAGAGGATTGGGAGAATGTCATATGGTCAGATGAAACCAAAATAGAACTTTTTGGTAAAAACTCAACTCGTCGTGTTTGGAGGACAAAGAATGCTGAGTTGCATCCAAAGAACACCATACCTACTGTGAAGCATGGGGGTGGAAACATCATGCTTTGGGGCTGTTTTTCTGCAAAGGGACCAGGACGACTGATCCGTGTAAAGGAAAGAATGAATGGGGCCATGTATCGTGAGATTTTGAGTGAAAACCTCCTTCCATCAGCAAGGGCATTGAAGATGAAACGTGGCTGGGTCTTTCAGCATGACAATGATCCCAAACACACCGCCCGGGCAACGAAGGAGTGGCTTCGTAAGAAGCATTTCAAGGTCCTGGAGTGGCCTAGCTAGTCTCCAGATCTCAACCCCATAGAAAATCTTTGGAGGGAGTTGAAAGTCCGTGTTGCCCAGCGACAGCCCCAAAACATCAATGCTCTAGAGGAGATCTGCATGGAGGAATGGGCCAAAATACCAGCAACAGTGTGTGAAAACCTTGTGAAGACTTACAGAAAACGTTTGACCTGTGTCATTGCCAACAAAGGGTATATAACAAAGTATTGACAAAACTTTTGTTATTGACCAAATACTTATTTTCCACCATAATTTGCAAATAAATTCATTAAAAATCCTACAATGTGATTTTCTGGATTTCTTTTTCTCATTTTGTCTGTCATAGTTGACGTGTACCTATGATGAAAATTACAGGCCTCTCTCATCTTTTTAAGTGGGAGAACTTGCACAATTGGTGGCTGACTAAATACTTTTTTTCCCCACTGTACATGTGGGTAGAGTTAAAGTGACTATGCATAAATAATAAACAGAGTAGCAGCAGCGTAAAAGAAGGGGTTGGGGTGGGTGGGCAATGCAAATAGTCCGGGTAGCCATGATTAGCTGTTCAGGAGTCTTATGGCTTGTGGGTAGAAGCTGTTAAGAAGCCTTTTGGACCTAGACTTGGCGCTCCAGTACCGCTTGCCGTGCGGTAGCAGAGAGAACAGTCTATGACTAGGGTGGCTGGAGTCTTTGATAATTTTTAGGGCCTTCCTCTGACACCGCCTGGTATAAAGGTCCTGGATGGCAGGAAGCATGGCCCCAGTGATGTACTGGGCCGTACGCACTACCCTCTGTAGTGCCTTGCGGTCAGAGGCCGAGCAGTTACCATACCAGGCGGTGATGCAACCAGTCAGGATGCTCTCGATGGTGCAGCTGTAGAACTGTTTGAGGATCTGAGGACCCATGCCAAATCTTTTCAGTCTCCTGAGGGGGAATAGGCTTTGTCGTGCCCTCTTCACGACTGTCTTGGTGTGTTTGGACCATGATAGTTCATTGGTGATGTGGACACCAAGGAACTTGAAGCTCTCAACCTGTTCCACCACAGCCCCGTCGATGAGAATGGGGGCATGATCAGTCCTCTTTTTTTTCCTGTAGTCCACAATCCTCTCCTTTCTCTTGATCACGTTGAGGGAGAGGTTGTTATCCTGGCACCACACGGCCAGGTCTCTGACCTCCTCCCTATAGGCTGTCTCATCATTGTCAGTGATCAGGCCTACCACTGTTGTGTCGTCTGCAAACTTAATGATGGTGTGGGAATCGTGCCTGGCCATGCAGTCATGGGTGAACAGGGAGTACAGGAGGGGACTGAGCACGCACCCCTGAGGGGCCCCCGTGTTTAGGATCAGCGTGGCAGATGTGTTGTTACCTACCCTTACCACCTGTGGGCGGCCCGTTAGGAAGTCCAGGATCCAGTTGCAGAGGGAGGTGTTTAGTCCCAGGGTCCTTAGCTTAGTGATGAGCTTTGAGGGCACTACTGTGTTGAAGTCAATGAATAGCATTGTCATGTAGGTGTTCCTCTTATCCAGGTGGGAAAGGGCAGTGTGGAGTGCAATAGAGATTGCATCATCTGTGGATCTGTTGGGGTGGTGTGCAAATTGGAGTGGGTCTAGGGTTTCTGGGATAATGGTGTTGATGTGAGCCATGACCAGCCTTTCAAAGCACTTCATGGCTACAGACGTGAGTGCTACTGGTCGGTAGTCATTTAGGCAGGTTATCTTAGTGTTCTTTGGCACAGGGACTATGGTGGTTT